GTTGCAATTCGTTTTAAGTTTCGCAAGTAATAGCTTTTAATTTTTGACGGCACGCTGGAAAATAAAAAAAAAATAATAAAAAATGGACATTTAATTTAAGCCATTTGCACATTTCATAATTTACTTATGCTGTAAATATAAAAAAATAAAAAATTAAAAAAGATAAAAAACAAGCAAGCGACGAACAGGAAATGCGCAAAGAGAAACCGGTCATTATGTTTCTGTACTCGTAGGGTAAGTATGTGTATGTATGTATGCAGGTAGAGAAGAAACAGTAACATGGTAAGAGCGAGCGATAGAGAGTGAGTAATTTTATAGAGTTGGAGCGACAAAGTAGCAGTGTGACATTTTTAAATCAATTAAAAATTAATCGACAAGTAAATAACGGAGTAGCCAAAACGGACAAACAATTGAGTTGAGGACAAAAAAAAGTGACAGTAACGACTAACTGACATTAAAATTAAATGTTCAAATTAATCAAAAATTAACGCATACACTGATACACACATTGAAAGCGGAATATGTATGTTTTGCTGCACCAGTCAATACACTTATTTAGTTGATGGGTATCACCTGAAATTCTTATTTTTCTTTGCTTTGTGCTCAATAATTCACTACACTGACAGTCAGCAGCATAGTTTAGGCATGATTTGCAAATTTAACTGTTTGCTATATCTACTTTGATTTGAATGCCAGAAAATTAACTAATTTTAACTTTTGTCTTTTCTAAGTACGAGAAAAACATCGGGGTATTTTTTTTGCACTTGTATCATCGAAATTGCAACTGAGTTTATGATTGCCATCTTAACAGCAGTTCTTTGTCTTTCATCTCCTACTAACAAGCTTATAATAGTGGTATTCACCAAATTGAGCAAAGTGCCTGGCACTCTGGCAAAAGAGCAGATTAGCTCCAGCCTTTACCAGAGTGCCAGGCCACTTGCTCAATTTGTTGAATACCATTAATATTTAAATTTTAGCACATTTCTCACCTTTTTTGTTGGTGTTGTGGACAATATAGTAGATCTACCAAACAGTTAAATTTTAAAGTCGTTCTGAACCTATTCTACTGAGTGTTACCGTATAGTACATAAAAATATAGGCATCTATGTATATTAGGGTGGTCGAAAAATGCATGTGAAAAGGTAAAGTCCGAATGTTAATGCTCTCACCCACTACGATTGTTCTATATCCAAAAACGTTTACCCCTGGTTTTTTTTCGAAATCAAAAAATATTTAGAGGGCGCCCAAAGCGCTTAAAATTTTTCGTGTATCTTATTTGGGGGAAAAATACGTTTTCGATGAGAAAACTCTGTTTCTCTTCAAAGGACTTCCAATAATAATACCCAATTGTGTGTTTTACCATTTTTTAAAACTAACAATTTTTTATGGGTTCCCCATTACATTTATGCGCGTTTTTGGATTTAGGTTAAATAAACATTTGGGTAATATTATTGGCGGTTTCTTGAAAATAAACTTAGTTCTTTGATCGAAAAATATTTTAATTTTGATAAAATTCTGTACCATTTCCACGATTTATTTTTGTTTTTCCCCATGTAAAATGCACGGAAAATTTTGAGCGCCTATAAATATTTTTTGATTAAACAAAAACGGAAATATTTTTCAGTACAGAACAATTCTAGGGGTAGTGAGCATTAAAATTCCGACTTTACTTTTTTGAACCACCCTTATATGTATATAAATATATATATTAGGGTGTCCCAGAATTTGTTTTGAGAAATTCGACTCTAGCATTAAAATTACGACTTTACTTTTTTGGACCACCTTTATATTTATACACATGTAAATACTTACATAGTATAGAAATATGTTACATTAAGGTGTCCCAGATTTTTTTTGAAAAATTCAATACCTGTGACCGTGTGGTTATCCCAGTATAAGTTCTGAGCACAAAATTAAAGACCTCATGGGTTGTCATAATCCTACAGCAATTAAACGTTATGTGTACATGTAACGCGGATATCTATACTTTTTGCAGTAACGTCCGAACGTAACTTCCGCAACTCTAGGATTTGTCCATACACATAAAGTCATGCGTAAAAACTAGGGGCACGACATTTTGACCAGTGTTTTTCTACTATTTGTAGTGCTTAGCAGTGCACGCTACCATTCCGTTCCTTTTTCGAATGTGTCCTTCACTCCAACCGATAGGAGCGAGCTCTACCGGCAACTAATTGCGTTAATAAAATCTCAGCTTGAAAAAAAAACAGCTGATTGTCGGTGGTGTGCTAATGCATTGGGGAAAAGTCGCCATTAGGGGTAAACGCGTAAACGCCAAAATGATTCTGAAAAATTGTAAAAAAACCACAACGGGGTCGCCATTTTCTCTTATCGCGGCACTTTGGTTGTCCGCCATATGATGATGAAATAGTTAAGTCCTTTGTGCTCGTTTGTGTGCGCAGTCGAGGCGACTACTCTAGCGCCCAATTCGTTTTCTAGAATAACGGAGCGGCGCCAATTGATTGGGCACCAAAAACACCGGCATTGAAGCCCGATGGTTGTGCGCACCGGCGCGTATGTTGCGGCCCAACTCGTAGCTGCGCGCCGGGATTGAACCTAGTGAGCATTGCGAGGGGAAACATTCCTATTGTGAGTGATATTTAATTCTTGTGCGGTGTGAAACATTAAGATAGTGATTTGATACCAGACGTGGTATGGTTGGTATATCCAAACATAATTTTTCAAGTACCATACGAGGTACTTTAGCTGCAGTAGAGCAGGCAGAAAAAGAGTGGCGTCAGTCGAGGCGGAGGAGTATCAGGACGTAGTGTCGGTTACGAATTTGAGCGGACACTTCCCCGCAGGAGCACCTAGAGGACGACGCACTCTCCGACGACAGCTTAAGTATTATTTGTGTTGTTGTTTCCTATATTGAGCTTGTAGTGCTGTCGGTATATTTCACACTAAGGTGTTCCTTTCCCGCCATTTTAGCATTCCGCACCCAGAGCCCAGTCACTTGGCGGGTGAAAATATCCCCGGCAGCTCGGGAGTTAGTGCGAGTGGGTTCGTAAACTTTTGGTTGGACCTCACCTCGGGTGCACCAAAGAATAAGGTTTTGTTTTTGTTATTATTGTGTGCTTAATTTCGGTTATTCTGTCCGTTAACATTTTTGAGTGCAGTTAGATATTCAATAATTTATTTCATAATCTTAGGTTCTCCCTACCATTCATATTTCTTTGAAGTTGGTTACATATTTTTAGCTGGTGCCGTTCCCCAGATAATCGTTGTTGTCACATATCCTAATTTCAGAACGAAAAAAATGACACTGAAGATGGCACAACGCCGAAACCGGTTTGTCTCCAAACCAAATTTGACAAGAGATGACGGAAAATCGTTCTACAATACATCATACTCCTCCTACCCACACAACAACCAAAAGAAACTATGTATAAACGTTATTTAGGTCAAAAAAGAAAAAAAAATTGAAGGGTATGTGTATCCAATTTTTGTATAAAAAATTCACATTTTATATACTGCGACACCATAATGTACATATAAAAGCAATCTATTAGGTCAGCAAAAGGGGTGTCCTCTTTAGTAACTACGGTGTTTAAAGTGTTTTGTCAATCTACATACACATATATAGGTAATTTATTACAAGTAACATAATACATCACGCAGAACAAGTTAATAAAGATGAAAGAAATTAAGCGTTAGTATTTTTTTCCATTTACCGAAAGTAGTGAGCCTCGAAAATATTACCTGTAAGTTTCACATAAGTCCTATGAATAGTTTTCGAGATATCCTATAATTACTGAGAGGCTCTCTAATCCTTCGTGGTAGGAGAACTCAAAGTGAAATAAGTTTTTCTCAAAACTTAAAAGTTAATTGGTTGATCGCTGGGCTTGGCACCTGCCCAGTTAAAAATTTGATTCAATGAAAGGGCACCAAACGCCTCTGACAGCTACCCCAAATGGAAACGAGCCTCGCTTAAGAAATAAGGAAAACAGTTTACGAATATGCACCAGCTCATTGCCATTGCGATACCTTGCCTCCAGGTTCACACCCTTCGTCGCAAGCGAGAAAACGGATAATGAGACTATGGCGCGCTTCTACGAGCGCCTAGAAGAAGCGACAGTTGAGCGATACCGGAGAAAGGGGAGGGATGAGAGACATATATTCAAACGAATAAAATTGCAGGCAGAAAGACGTGAAAGCAAAGAGCTTGAGATGCTGGCAGACAGGATTGCGACTCGAATATTCTATTAGAAAATAAGGCAGCAATCAAATGGTTCCAAGACCGGGGCTGATTCATGTAGAGACGTAGATGGAAATCATGTACCTTTTTTTAAGCAGACTTTAGTCTAAAAAAAAACTAGAGAGGTGTGGTTATTTAAACTCGAAATTAGCCTACTTAGATCCAGTTGCCCATGCTAGGTTTGATTATTGTATCAGGGCCATTAGAGGATGCCCAAACGGAAGTGTGTGTCTCTCTACTTTTTTTTTTATATGAAACTACAGAGCAAAAAACATTGGCTAATAAAATTAACTTTATTTAATTTTATTCCCACTAAAGACGACACCCCTAATAGCTTTTAATTGTATTTTTTGCTTACACATATCGTCACCTGGGTAAACGATTCTCGTATGTTTCGCATGTACGTTTGACGCTGACGACAATCTTTTACCCAGGCGACGATATGTATGTATATATTATATAAAAGTTAATATTCTAAAGTAGCTTTTAACTCAATGCAATAAAAAATGCATTAAGTGCTTAATACTTTGCGTGAACATTCGCAAACGCACATACATACAGCCAAGAGAGAGTAGGTGTACATACATATACAAAGCGCATACGCTCACACATACCCTTTATTATCATACTATAGTAGATACTTATAAAATAGTATAGACTCATAAATAGATAAGAAATAACTTTAGATGTACAAAGAGGAAATCAGGCTTATTGGCTTTGCCGCCCGAGCAGCTGACAAAAATGAAACCAGTCAGGCAGGCAGGCAGCCAGTCAACACACTTACCACCCTCCTTCGTCGTCGCTTGTGTATCCAAATTTTGATTCTGATTTTGATTGACAACAAATGCCGAATTCTCCTCCTTTGTGATGCTCATGTAATAGCATGTGTCATCCTTCTTCATGATATGCCGCGGCCCGGGATTCAGCAAAATTGTGTCCTCGTAGAATTCAGGCAGCTCGGCTGGACGTACGCCTACCAATGCAACGCCATATCTAGTGGAAACATAAAAAAAAGAAAGGAAAAAGAAAAACAAAAACAAGCAAAATCGCTTAGAACGCTATCAAAGACGATGAAAAATCTGTGTCCATCAATGAATTTGAAAGTGATATATGAACTAGCGCAAAATTCAATCAGCGCCAAATTAAATTTAGTTCAATTGCACGTCCATCAGTCAGTCAGTTAGCAGTAGACGACAACACTACGACTCAAATGGAAAACCAAAAACAAAAAAGTGACAAATTGAATTAAAAAAAAAAAACAAAAAAAAATCATCTTCCCATTTGGACTACGTCGTCTACTCACTTTCGATGCGAATGAAAGCTGGCGTAAGTGAAACTTTTGCCCTCGTATTCGCCGAAGAAGCGACTGTCGCCGAGTACAATGTGATAGATCTCATTGCCGGAACACTTGCCATAAAGACGATGCCATTCCTCCGGTGATTGTTGACCTTCCCTGCAATAGTTCAATAAGAAAAAAAAACCAACGTTAAAACAATTTCACTTCGGCGTTTTTTGTGCTTGTTGAACAAGTATGACTACGAGCAGTTAAAATCGTATAGATTGTAAAGCAGGGATCACACGATTTGTACATTTGTACACAAAATGCCAAATTTAGATTTGTCCACATTTGCGCATTTGGATAGCGATGTACAAATGATTTGTTTTGCGATCAGACGATTTGGCTGCCAAAGATCCAAATGATTTGGCACACATTTGCGCACAGCAGTAAAGTGACAAATATTGTCCACATTCATTCACACGATTTGACTATTTGGTCATAAATACATACTTAAACAGCTGATCCAGTGTCAACCATACTCTTGCATCTATGATTTTGTGAGATTTGAAGTGAAATAAACAAAAATAATATGTACGCACAGGTACTCAGAATTTTGAATACACTCTCAAAATCTGGGCTGAAGGTAAAAAACGCGTTTTTCATAGGTTGAAGCATATACTTGCTCGTAACTTTATTTCTGTTTGCCCGATGAAAAATACTTACATATGCCATTTAAGAGAAAACATTTCGTTGTTTACAACCATTTATAAATGGTTAATTTGTCTTCAGAATGGGCACCCTATGTATGTATACTAGTTAACCAAATAGTCGGACAAGTCGTAATTTAAAATGAAAAATGTTAAAAATTTAAATTTTGCATATCGATGGCTGAGTGGAAGATCGACCTATCTCGGAAGCCAGTTCAAAAACGCCCTGTCTCTGAAATTTTTCAAGAACGCCCTACTTCAAAGTTTGATTGAAAAACGCCCTATTTCAGAATTTGGTTGAATAACGCCCTATCACAGAATTCATTTCAAAAACGCCCTATCTCAAACGAAAACACATTGAAAATAAGCCGATATAGGGCGTTTTTGAATTGGCAGCTGAGATAGGGCGTTTTTCAATGAAATCCTGAAGTAGGGCGTTCTTGAAAAGTTTTCTGAGATAGAGCGTTGTTAAAAAATTTTCTGAGATAGGGCGTTTTCGAACTGGTTGCCGAGATAGGTCGATCTTCCACTCAGCCATCGATATACTCTGTAAGATTCCTTTCAGTGATCGGGCTTCTACCACATTGTTGTAGATCTGCCACTTTTTTGAGCACACCTACCACACAAGGTCAGAAATCTACCACATATTCGCGTTTTTGAGTAGTTTTATTTTTGCTCAACATAATTTTCTTAATTTTAAGAGCAAAAATTGTCCAACACTAAACACTAACAACAGGCAGAATGGGAGGATAAAATAAACTGTAAAATTATAGATTTTCTCAATATTCAATTTTTCGACATCAAACATGGTTTTATTGTGTTAAATTGCAAAATATATGATTTATAAAAGGAATTAATAGCGAAAATGATAAAAACCGACGATTTTTGTGAAAGCATTAGCAAATTTCAGTGCATCTCAAATTTCTAAAGCGTTGTTTACTTTTACTTGAGAATTGTCAAAATCGGCAAATCCCAAGTAGCATTTCTGGAACGAGCCACGTTTGTTCGCTACATCGTGATGTGATAAAAAAAAGCTGGAAGGAAACTGTCAAGGAAAAAAATTGCCAAAACCAACGCAATTTTTATCAACTTCAATCATGCACTTTATTATACTAAAATTAATTTTGTTTTAGATTCTGATTAAAATGTTTGCAATTTAGGAGAAACCTTGCAGATTTTTTTACAAAGTTTGATCCAAAACCTGAGATCTACCACATTTTTTTGCAATCTATCAATTTTTTTTAGATTCTACCACACAAATTTTTTTTAAGTCCGATCACTGATTCCTTTGCCATTTCTTAAGACAAATCATCAATTTAAACATTGTTGTAAGCAGCGATATGTCTTATCTTGAATCACATACACATATACGTATTTTTCACCGGGTAAACAGAAATAGTTACTAGCAAGTATACCTGTGCGGCACCCTTTGAAAAACGCGGTTTTTGACCTTAAGCCCAGATTTTGAGGGTGTATTTAAAATTTTGAGTATGCAGATTTTACTGCTTAGATAGACCTACAACAAGTATGAACCTCGAAAAAAACTATATACATTTTTTTTTGTCACATAGTGTAATTTAGATCGTCTTTAATAATCTGTATATCGTCGTTTAAAGTACAAAACCGCGTATTAACACAATGCAAAGCCGCCTATGTGAGGTTGCATATATTATTATCTAGATAGTAAAAACGCTCATATTTCAAAATGGTTATCTTTTTTATAAAGCAATCGTATGTATATTTCAGGACGAATGGATAAGGATTGAGCCAACAGCTTCTGTAAGCAAATTCAATTTTTGGCAGCAAATGTCAGTTACGCGATTTTGCAGAATGACGGTACGCGGTTTTGTACTTTATACGACGATATGCATGTATGTATATGTGTATAGCCAGCAAAAACTTCGGAAAGAGATCCGAAAACTGAAAGAAAGGTGAATAGTAAAGTGCCACGAAGGGTTGTGAAACGAATACTTTTCCGACTGGTTTTCTGAAATTTTTCATTCTGAACTTCAAATATGCTTTTTCAAAGTTAATTATACTCAGAAATTAATTATACTTTTAATATGTTCGTCTGCCGGCATAAGAACCTGGGACCTCATGAAAGCTTACAAATAGTCGCACGCTTCTCTGCACACTCAGCTACTGTCGAATACGTATATGTACACGTTTTCAAATGTTCAGTTTGAGCAAATATTTTGAAATTGTTGTTTTCAAATAACGTGATATTTTTCGGTAGTTTTCGGATACGAATATTATATTAAATATTAAAATTTTACCAAAATTGGAAAATACAAGGCACGAAATGGCAATACCGCTCAACAATATTTGTATATTTGTCACTGGCATTTGTCATCAAGTGGCAAATCAGATATTTGGTCATTTGCGTAATTTTTATTTGGCTTATGTAGCAGCATTGCGTTCACACGATTTGGCCACCAGGGTTGTTTTTCATTTGCCACAAGAAGGCAAATATTTGGCTTTTCTCATAAATGACAAATGTAATTTAGCGTTCACATGATTTGTCTATGAATTTGACAAATTTTTAGCCAAATGTACAAATCGTGTGATCCCAGCTTAAGTACTCTTTGTACTCAGGAATAGTGTAAGTGTTCATGTATGTGAGTGTAGTGCCGCTGCGTCCTGTGTCCTTCGCCGTTTGAATGGTTGTTGCTGACGTTCATAAGTAAATAATTTGAACTTGTTTTCTAAATGTCTTTAACTTTCTCTTTGTTCTCAACTTTCTTTGTCTAATTTGCTCCTTTTCGATTTTACTTGACTATGCCAGTATGAGAAGTCTAACAGTTTGCACAGTTTTCTTTATTAGCGATTAGTTAGAACCAAATTGTTCTATTCGCTAACAATGAGCAAATTAAAGTTTTGCAACAGAATTTTGCATTGGAAATTCGTAGGCAAACTAAAACTCGCAATGTGTTAAAAAAAGTTTTGAAAAGTGAACAGTGGGAGTTACTTAAATACAATAAATACATGTTTGTCTTGTTTTCTTCTGCCCTTTGTTCGCATAACAGCCTAGAGGAATGGATAAAAATATAGACATGGAGCTATGTTCAAAGATTTAGCACCAAAATTCAAAATGGCGTTGCTTGAAACTTATGTTTAACTATTTATTTCTAACTAGGAGCGCCAGTTACTGTCGAAATTCGACTCTTTTTCTAATTTTTTTTAAAGGCCCTACGATGGGTTTTCTAACTTAGCACGTCGTTTAAAATTACTTAACGGAAAATTTCCTGCTTTGGAACTAAGACGGGACTACTACAATTTTTAATATTTTTGAAGGCCTCTGACAGCACTTGGAGTTTGCCCATACATTCCAGTTTGTCTATAAATTTGGATTATTTTATACACATATCGATAATTCCATGAATTTCAAACCCTTTAAATTCCGATACCTCAACAAAATTCGATAACTCGACTGATTTCGATAAATTTCAATATATGGTTGTTTCGAGAGCTCGATAAATTTCGATAAATGAAAAATCGATAACTCGATAAACACTGAATACCTCTATAAATTTCAATAACTCGGTTAGTTTTGATAGCTCCATATTTTTCGAATGCTATCGACAAAAGCAGTGATAACTCGATAAAATTAAATAACCTTGAAATTTGGATAGCACGATATATTTTGAAAATTCCAAAAACTTCGATTCGATAGATCTAATAATTTAATTAATCAATAAATATCAATTATAAATAAATAATTTTTATAGCGTGATAACTATCCGTAAATTTCGACAACTAATTTTCTGTGTCTATCAATTTCGACAACTTAATAAACATTGATCGATTTAAATAATACGTTGCGATAACTCGATAGCATGCATAACTTTATAAATTTCGATAACTATAAAGTTTGATGATTTGATAAATTTCAGTAATTTGATAGCATAACTAACTAAATTGTTTATGACTGAATTTACTTCGAATCCTATCGATCCGATTTTACCCGAGTTCAACAAAGCACGCTAGTTTCTGTGCCAATCGTGGCCAATTTGAAATGCCAAGTGAAGCCAACTCCTTCTCCGCTTGGTCTTTCCATAGCAGTGGGGGCCTCCTTCTTCCTCTGCTACCACCAGCGGGTTCCCTGTTGAATACTTTCAGAGCTGGAGCGTCGGAGCAACTCTACTTATGTCCATGACGTTGTAAGGCTCATACAGCTCATCGTTCCATCTCCTGCCATACTCGTCTTCGTAAAAGCGTAAAGGCCCGTAAATCTTCCGCAAAATCTTCCTTTCGAATACTCCAAGAGCCGTCTCAACGGATATTGCATTCTCCATGATGCTGCGCCATATATCAATACGGACATGATGACTCACTTATAGGGTGTGGTTTTCGTACATCGGGAGAGGACTTTACTCCTGAATTGGCTACTTAGTCCAAAGTAGCACTTGTTGGCAAGAGTAATTGTCCGTTTTTCAAGGCTGAAAATATTGTTGATGTTATTGCTGG